ATTAGCTGTGTTTAACTATGGACAGGTTGATCTGAGGATACCTCAGACCAGATTCTTCACATAAAAAGTTTTAGTAGTCACTCTTTGGGATTTCTTTCCTATGTGACCTGAGCTAGATGGGAAAATTTCCGATAACTGATCTAAAAGGAACGACGGATACAGAGGAGCGACGCTGAGCAATATGCAAAGTTTAATAAGAATGAGTAAACTGGTAAATAATAATTGTCCTATCATAATATTCACCAGTTAAGCATCATGCTTTAGAGAATTGTATGTCTTGCTTTTCCATTGCGGAATACAAAATATCATTTTCTCGCAAAACAGTAAACCGTATCTTGGGAGTGCGACAAATGAGCTTTTTCATGGCAAATGTTTGGTAACACTGTCGGTACCTCTTTAAACAAGAGAGAAATTTATTCAAAACCATAATTTTGGAGGAAACTCTTTTTTCAATTCTCGTAGTAGGATCCGGCATCTTGTTTCGCCGCCAAATCCATAGTTACGACGCAAAATAAAGCTTGAAGAAGCTGCATCTATTTGAGGTAAATTCTCAGGGCTAAAAAAAATCGTTTTTCGAGGCTTTCATATCTTGTACCTGATTTTGCGTTACCGTGCATTGGGAGGCCGCGTAAATACGCAGTATGATATCTATTCAAATGTCACCAATTTCATGATAAACGTTCAACATGACTAGACCCTTCGCAGATTTCACTGATTTACCAAAACCATAATTTTCAAACTAAGGCTTTTCCCTCTGAAATACTGATGTGTATTAAACTGTTCAGCGCACTGTGATAAGCCATGCACTGATTTTGGGTTCACGAACACTTTACTCACATAGCGGACTGCTCATGAGCCGTTACTATGGTACATAAGTACACAAGGACCTCAGAACTAGCCTGGCTGTAGAAGGTTTCCCTTGTGATGCAAGATTGAGAGCGCTGACAATTTGCCTTGTTTTGAACAAAATAATCTTTACGTATGATGCTCGATCCTCGCAGTAAAGAGCGCTATTTATACAATAGCGAAAATCTATAAATAGCGCTCTCTACTGCGAGGATCGAGCATCATACGTATCTATAACCGCAGTTCAAAATATATGAACTTCATATATTCATCGTACCAAACTAATCTTTGTTTCATCGCTTTGTGCCGGTTTAAGCAGCAGTCAATCCGCTGCGAAACCACTATTCATCACCTACTCCGGCCACAGTCTTACTTAAGTTCTTCTAAGATTAATGGTAAAAAAGGAAGGATAACTACTTTAAATTCTGGGATATCGATCCCGGTACCTCGCGCATGCTATGCGGGCGCTCTACCATTTGAGCTAATCCCCCATGAACGCGAAATCACCCTCTTCACTGCGGGTACGTATCCACATCGGACATTTTTCTGTGTCCGGACAAAATTCTAACATATTTTCCCAGATATGAAAATAATGACAATACTAAAAAACTTGAGCTCATTCATTTCTTTCCAACTGCAACTTCCGAAAGCTTTAATTTTTTTATCATGTGCAGATTCTTTGAAATATCATGACTCGTCACAGTTCGTTGCGAAGCTATGTTATCGAAAGACGATTCAAAGAATTACAGAAAATTATTCCCTTTTCTAGGAGCACCATCATGTTGTTAAGCTCCGTTTTCCTTCCAATAATGAGTACTTGCTCATCCCTTTCCACTCCCGGTGGAGCATAGGTCCAAAGAAACCTCACGCCATCTCCTTCTATGCCGGGCCAACTTCTCTGCATTCCAGGTGTAGCCTGCTTTGGCCGCCTCCTTGTCCACGGTTCTCCTCCAGCTGTTTCTAGGACGGCCTTGTTTTCTCTTCCCCTGTGGGTTCCACCTCAGTGCATGCCTGGTAACATTGCTGTTCGGTTTTCTGAGGGTGTGCCCTATCCAACCCCAATTGCGCCTTATAATCTGGATGTCAATTCGTTCCTGTTCAGTTCTTGCTCACAAATCCAATATATTGAACGTGTACTTGAGATACGGCTTGAAAACTGTCAGTGGAGCCGTATAAATGACGTCATAGTCGTGAACTCTGCGCAAAAAAGACATCTCTTCGATAAGGGCAATTCGCTCTCTTCCTTTAGTCTCCCTGTTAGAAAGGTTCGACTGTATTTTGTGAGATTTCAAGGATACAGAGTGTAAGGAAAGCAGTGGGGTAGGATCATCACTGTAAGACTGACTTGCTTTAATCTACGTTGTAAGAGGTGTATGAGCAACCATATCTGAAACGTACAGTTCCACACTGGCTTATAAGGTCATCAAAAGTCATGTAAATTGTCAAACAAAAGAAGTCCACCGAATAAACTGAATGGCAATGCACTCACAGTGGAACTAAAAGGAAATTTGTGTCATTGACGTTGAAGAAGCGTCATTACATTTCGTGTTTCGAGTTTACTTTTAAACTTCTTCATTACGCAAGTAAACTTTTTTATTGTCTGCTTAGTGCTTATATCGTCGTTAGTTTAGAGATAATTATACATATGTGAATCGCTGGACTATTACTAAAACATCTCTAGGAACTCCTAAGAACGTAATTAACTAAGATACAAGAATCGCAATCTTTTTCAGGCCTTTATCTGGTATTCTGAATGTCGACAGTTATTTACGAATCGTCTAAAAAGTGGAATGCTAGTCCTTTGCTTCTCTAAATATATTACATTAGAATCGATCTGCATATCAATAAAATGAATCAAACTATTGTCAACAAACGCACGTCACCGTTAGTAAAGTCGCCTTAAATTTTTTCGGCTATGGGACAGATGTCAATAAATTTATTGTTAAGCGCGGTCTAAGTTGGGTGCAAATAGACTTTAAGAGCATCTGCAATATGTAGGAAATAACTAAGTTCCCAAAGAAACGTGCTGACGAGACCAATATTTTCTAGGCGGTCAAGAGGCACAATTCGCAATAGTCCCAATATGGCGGCGTCTCCTGGAAGTATGTACCAAAAACAAGTTCTTAAAAAACGACCAACGTCCAACCTTCAGTCATCTTTAGGACATTTGTCCAAATCGGACCGATATAAAGAGAAAGATATCCCTTTAAATTCAAATCCTCCAGGCAGCCCTGAGATACAGCGATCAAACAACGGTTTAAGGAAGTTCAGTCAAATTAGTGCGCATTCCGATGCTTCTGTGGCGAGTGAAAACCTCACTGATACAAACAGTAACTCAACTAAACAAACAAGGACGCCAAAAAATGCCATTCGGGCAAAACATCACTAGGCAAGGGATTTCACCTTAGGCAAGCTTTGAAATGAGAAAGAGTTTTCAGTGTGATGTCTATTGTTTAGTGATGTTTTGATGTGTTTGGAAAGACCGAGGATTATATTTACTTACGTATTTGCATCGATGACTCGCTACCCTTCCTTCCAGGACGTGTATCCAGCTATTTGATTGAAACAAAGTGTCAATTTTTACATCTGAAATTTCAAAACTGAATCATATTTCCCGAAATTTCATAAAACGCTAAGATAAACATTGCTGCTGACCAGCCTTGAGGTTTGATACTAAATTTTAGCCATTCAAAACAGAAAGCTTAACAGATTAGGCCACCGTAGCTGTAATCGAGCCGAATGTAATTATTATTGACGTCCGATGTTCATAACTTTTAATAAGACACTCACTCTTGAAAGAGTTTATTTGTGGCGCAGCCTGGTCGAATATATCTAAAATACATTGCTCGCATGCAGTCGCATTAACTCATGAGTACACCAGTGTAACAAACCGGACAATAGAAGTCATAATACAGTGAATATACATGTATTGGTCCACAACCAATACATATCATGATGGAATTTTCATCTTATAGAAAGCTGGTGAGATTTGTACTTATTTTTAAATTTTCACTTTTATAGGTTTCTGTAAGGTAATAAGTATTGAGCAAATAGCGTAGCTACAAACCGGTAACTTGTTAAGCATGCTTCGGGCCAAAGACTTGCAGGATGATTAGGCTTTTGTTGGCTTTTGTTGTTTGCATTCAAAAAGAGGTACGAAATATTAGACCATATGTCAATGAATACATGCTTCACAAGAGTTCTTCTCGCCATGAGCATTGCAAGCGACTGTTCAAAGTCTCATCCCAAGAGTTTGCAAATGAGCTATCCATTTTATTTGGTCTAAGATTAAATTCAGGAAACAAACAATTTCATTTTTTAACCGAAATGATTTTTCAACCAATACTTTCCACTGGGTGGATAGGGTGTGAACATATCCGACAGTAGTGTGAACACTCAAAAAGTTCTGCTAAATGCGAAGGAAGAAGCTCATCCGGTTCCTTTGGCATTTATTTTAATTAATAATGCCTAGAATTATTGCAGAGTTTCCTTGTACTAAGAGAGCGAAGAATGGTAAAGAGAATCACTCTGGGATACTCTCAGGAAACTTTCGCTGTTAAAGTTAATTTCTCATTTCGTGCAAAGTGTATCGGGTAATATTCAGAGGACGATAAAAAAAATCCAAGGTAAAAATGACGGCAAAAACCTGCAAAATCCACTGTTGAGATGATTGGCGGTTACATTCACTGCAAAGAGAGTAATCGGGGATAATTCGGGTCAACTGATAACAGTTCAATTTATCAAATTAAATAGTTCAAGAATTCATCATCCTAAAGCAAATCGGACAACCCGAATGTGATTAAAGAACTTACGTCATATCCTCGATTTGTTGTGAGAATCAAAGATGGTTAAACAAAGTCCTTAAAGGTTACATATTATGATGAACCTCTGGAGACGCCTGGTTTAGAACGTGTGAAAGAGGGTTGTTTATTTTCAAAGCATAAATCTGTCTGTCTCGTTCTATGTTTGTGCACGCTTAGCATGTTCAGACTTTCGAATGGGCAGACTCTTGGTCATCTTTTAAATTTGATTGGCTCATTTGTTTACCACATTTTAACAAGAGATATCTATCCTGTATTCGTTGCTGAATATATGTTATTCAAGCGTTATACTTTTACTAATTCTTGACATTGGCGGGTTTTTTCCATGGACAGAAAGCGAGCAAAGGCAACAAAGTACAGAAACTGCATCATGCAGCTTTGTCTGGAAACGAGGCTGAAGTGCAAAAATTACTTGGAAAAGGAGTTGGTGAGTGTGGACTTACAACTCTAAAACTCATTTAGACCATTTATGGCAACTATTCCTGTATTTGTTTTGAGTCCCATTTCGAGCAACTGATACCGGACGATAACAGAACTCCATTCGAACTGTTTTTCCTGTCATATTTGTTCCAATATAATCATGACCGTAGCTGGCCCCCATTATTTGAATTGAATGTAAGTACTGTAACTAATGTAAAGAAGAGAAACAAAATTATTATTAGTTTCAAAAGGAACACTACAGAAATTAAATTAAGATATTGGATTGAAACTGTGAGCAGAGAGAAAGCTAACGTGAAGAAAAAGCTACATATGAATAAATGAGCTTATGGATATCCTTATCAGGATTTGCGTGTTTCATACATTGTTTTGTATCTTTCTTTCTTGAAACATTCGTACAGAAAAATCCACTTCAGGTGTATTTTTGTAAAGTTCCAATGCTTGTAAATCAAATTGGCGTTATTCACTTAAAACTTTGTTATTCTTTATCACTTGGCGGGCGTATAACGATACAAAATGGCTGCATTTTCTGAGGATAAATCAGGACTGATATAACTTTTTTGTTTTCAGTTGGTTTAGTCCATTTTGATCTATCCATCAATTGCTTTGGATAACTCTAAGATATATCTTTATATTTGTTTCCCCTAGAAATAAATACTCCAGATCCATTTGGCAAGACGCCGTTGCATAATGCCATTATTGGTAAACATTTCAACATCGTTGACTTGCTGCTGAAATCAGGAGCTGATGTCAAGTGTCTTGATGAGCGAGGAGACACGCCTCTCCATGCTGCTGTCAGAGTTGATAGCGAGGCAATTGTTGTGGTTAGAAAACATAATGTCTGTTTTTGTTTTATTGATACATCTCTGCTTGTCGTTTGGTATAACAATTACAAAAGCTGACGTTTCGAGCGTTAACCCTTCGTCGGAGCGATTAGAGGAATTGTGGGTTGTGTGTGCTTTTAAAGGCAGAATATGGAGCTACGTTATTGGTGGAAACATGGCAACGAGAAAAACAAGAATCAATTAGTGGAATGAAAAGCGTTCGTTGATCCCAGTGAGATTTAGACTGCCGGTTTGAAAGATGAGCTTTTGTTCAAGATTTTTACGGCTTTCCGTGCTACCTAAGTGTAAGGAAAGACTGCAGAGAATGATTAGGTAAATTAAAATATCTAGCGACTGGTTTCGATGTGTCCTTGACATTCTTTTCCACGTCTCGAAGGTGTTCTCGGAATCGGTCACCTAGTCTTCTGCCTGTTTCGCCGATGTATATCTTTTTGCAATAAGTGCAAGTTATGCAATAGATTACATTGGTGGAGGTGCACGTGAAGTGATCGGTGATCTTAATGGATCGTTTAGGTCCCGATAGTTATCAGTGTTGTGAATGAAAGGACACGTTTTGCATCGTGCACGAGCGCATTTAAAAGTGCCTGGTTGGTCATTAGTCTGAAAAGAACTTCTGACCAAAAAATTGCCTATGTTTTTGTCGCGTTTGAATGAAATGAGCGGAGGCTGCGAAAAGATAGTGCTTGTCTCTGGATCGTTTTGAAGTAATTTAAAGTTTTTAAGAATGATGGATTTAACTGAGTGGTTGTGAGGGTGAAACGTGAGAGTGAATGGAATGCGGTCGGAATCTTCCTTATGCGACGTTTGTAGTGCTGAATGTCGATCAATAAGTTGNAAGGAACACTACAGAAATTAAATTAAGATCTTGAATTGAAACTGTGAGCAGGGAGAAAGCTAACGTGAAGAAAAAGCTACATATCAATAAGTGAGCTTATGGATATCCTTATCAGGATTTGCGTGTTTCATACATTGTTTTGTATCTTCCTTTCTTGAAAAATCCACTTCAGGTGTATTTTTGTAAATGGAATTCAAGTTCCCATTGCTTGTAAATCAAATTGGCGTTATTCACTTAAAACCTTGTTATTCTTTATCACTTGGCGGGCGTGTAACGATGCAAAATGGCTGCATTTTCTGAGGATAAATCAGGACTGATACAACTTTTTTTGTTTTCAGTTTGCTAAGTCCATTTTGATCTACCCATTAATTGCTTCGGATAACTCTAAGATATATCTTTATATTTGTTTCCCCTAGAAATAAATACTCCAGATTCATTTGGCAAGACGCCGTTGCATAATGCCATTATTGGTAAACATTTCAACATCGTTGACTTGCTGCTGAAATCAGGAGCTGATGTCAAGTGTCTTGATGAGCGAGGAGACACGCCTCTCCATGCTGCCGTCAGAGTTGATAGCGAGGCAATTGTTGTGGTTAGAAAACATAATGTCTGTTTTTGCTTTATTGATACATTTCTACTTGTCGTTTGGTATAACAGTCCACCTCTTTACTGGATCTTGAGTAGAAAATTAAGTCTCGATCTTTCTTAAGACTATATTGATTATTGTGAAGAATTGCGCTTTTCTTGATCAATTCTCATCGCGGAATGGAAGGTGGTGTCCATCTGGGCGTGTGAGGTGTACCTAACTGTAGCGTGAGCTACAACGCACGGTACATCATGATTGTAGTAAGCCTTATTAACAAGGTCATCTATTTTTAATATCTCTAGCTATTGTTGAACGACAGTAAAAGCATTGCTAATGCGAAAGGATTCGGGTCCTACACGCCTCTTCACATTGCTGCTCAAATGGATTGCGTCGACATTTGCAAGCGATTGGTAAGAAATTATGGGTGGCATTTTAATCTTACAGGTTTAATCTTAGAGAATTTTTGAGACAAGCCACTGAATATCATATGAAAAGGCATTAGTGGCTAAACCTTTGTGATGATATGTACCCCCAGCAAGATAATTCGGAAGGGATGATAAAATCGAGATGCACTTGAATTAGTTGTCAAGAAAACAGGTAGCAGTAACATATTGTACATAGTGAACTATAAATCTACCGAAGCAAGTGAATTGTTGTTCTCTCCGAGAATGTTACTCAGGTTTAAAAGGTAGTGGTCAATCAGTGCTTGAATCCACAAAACTGAAGAGATGCATTTCCCACCTTTTACAAAATGTTCTACTTTTTTAGGTGGAGCATGAAGGCGACATCGCTCAGGCAGCTGAAGACAACATGACTCCCTTTGGTTTAGCAATCGCTAAGGGAGCGCAGTCTGTGTCTGAATACTTTGCTGGAATCGGTAATTCAATTCAACTTTCGGGGAAAAGTATGAGTTAGGCGGTAAACTCATCAGAGATCATCAGAACTCATCAGAGATATTTCCGGTGAAAAATGTCTGCTAACAGGAGAACCTATTCGCCCTTTTATTTTCTTTAATGATGCAACTAACCGTTTAAACCAAGATACTTGTTACGGTACCCTCTGCATATTCGCCCAGAGCACTGTCCACTAACGTGGATTATTCTCCCACAAGGGACGTGAGTCGAGTCTCTATATATCCTTTGAGTCCCTTCAATGACATATAGTAAATCTTACAATTTTCAGGGAATTTGACACCAGACTGTGTCCACTGGTGTGACCAGTATGATCACTTGTGCCAGAATAGTGCACCACTATATTTTTCCACTATGTATCCTGCTCCTTCTCTATGTTAATGCTTATCCGTATAAACCAGTCAAAACATTTTTCGAAAGAATTTCCCGACTGCAATTTCTCGCTTTCCTTTTTAGTGAAAGAAAAAGACCTGAATTTAGAGGGTCTCCTCTACATCGTTGACGATGAAGGTAGCACCTTGCTCCATCTTGCGGTGGACAGCGGGATTCTCCCGGTGAGACACATTTACGAACTGAACCCCCTTTTTTTTACTGCGACAATAGGAATATTTGAAACGCTGGAAATAGACTCTTCACCTGACGTAATTATGGGTTATGGTGAAGGGAAGTGGTAGGATATGTAATATCTGCAGCGATAAGTATAGTTCAACCTCTAAAGAAATAAATGCTCCCACGAAAACAAACAAACAAACAAAAAACAATCGAACAGAAAACTGATACATTTTCATGATCCTTAAAGGGACTGAGCCTGTTTTTATTTAGTGCATCAAACTTGATTTCTTTTGGTGACATAATCTTCTCTTCGCTATTCTAGATTGTAGGACTGTGTTTAAAGCTTGGATCAAATGTGCGGCAAACAAAGGTAACACATTTTTACTCGTATCGTAATCCTAAAGAAAAAATAATTTGTGTCCAAGGGTTTGAGCGCATGAAAAAACTCGGTTACTTGCTTTATTTAAATCAAATTTCTTAAAGTGAAATAAACTCTACGGTAAATCGACAATAGAACTCGTAATTTACCTCCTTCAGAGTCTTTTATACTTTTTTACGTATAATATTAGCAACTCGTGGATATTTTAAAGAAATGATTTTATTAATGTTGACAATTTACCCCATAATAGGGATCAGATAACAGTACTGCTTTACATCTGGCATGCTCACAAGGCTCTCTGGAGATCGTTCAACTTCTGACCAGTGAGGTCCGAGATATCTGCAAAGAAGTGATCATCGATGAACAAGGCATGTTTCCCATTCACCGTGCAGCAGTGAACAATCACTCCCTGGTGGTAAACTTTTTATTAGATCAGGTGAGGGATTCGTTAAAATTATATTCTACAGAAAGTGCTTTTTTCCTGCTGTTATTCCGTTTCTTTTCCTTCTTCCTGCAACTCTATAGAGTATCTCAGAAAAGCTGAGTCTTTTCGAACCTAACCTGAAAACACATTAATTGGGACAATGACGGTGATAAGGCGCTGTTCTTATGTTTCATTTGTCTCATTTGGATACATGCTTGGGTCATCCTGAGTCCTTTCCATTTATTACATATGAATTATTTTTATTCAGGGTGCCCAAGCTGACCCCCGCGACATTGAAGGCCGAACTCCTCTTTTCTTGGCCGCCTCAGTGGGTGGAACAGAGACTGTTCAGCTCCTGATGGATCGGGGAGCAGATTTAACACTCAAAGATATGGAGTTACACTCGGCTCTACATGTAGCTATTGGGAACACAAATACCATGGAAGCCTTAATGAAGGTACCTACGCCACAACATCATTAATTAAAGTTGTTTTCATTTATCACTTTTTCTTATTATTGGACAAATTATGTAAGAATTTGTTTTTTCACCGCTGGGAACACACTTTGTTAAAATGTATGCAAGCCTCCGCTTCTTAAATAAACACAGGTCTGCTCTCTTTGTTGTTGTAATTGATTCTAGTACATTCATAAACCAATCAAGAGTAATGAACTATCGTTAAAATTTTTCGCCACGTCCAAAATATGCTCTAGCCCGAACGACAATGAAACCCTTTGCACTTTCGTAAGATTACATGTGACCATGTATATTATCCTCTTAATTGATTACAGAGTCCTGCATCCAAGTCATTAGTGGTTGACAAAGATGCAACTGGATATACTCCGGTACATTATGCAGCACGAGCTGGATATCTTCAGGTACTGAGATCAAAGTCAGTCTGTTTTTCTGCTGATTTTAAGTTACAAGTAAGTAAAGAAGGTCGTTTTCATGGAACGTGATGCTGTGCATATTGTCGAAAGAAAATATTCTGTTAACAGCAAAATTGTTGGTAAGAGCTAGTGTGTGGGAGATGAACTCTTTTTTATGCTAATCATCCCTTTAACTTCAACGCAAACATATGATCCTAATCTCTGAAAACTCCCGAGCAGTACAAGAAAGTGTAAAAAATACCAACTCTTTCTTTTCGTTTGTTGATATTTGTTTTCTCTCTGAAGCACATCACACTCTTTACTAGCAAGAACAAAGCTGCTGCACAAGTCACATCAGATTCACTGGATACGCCTCTTCATATCGTTTCTCGGTATGCTTTTCAGACCTGTAGCATTTCCATCAATTGTTTTTCTTTTTGATGCTTCAAATGGTGGTGTTTTTTTGGTAATCATATGTTTTTATTGTGAAGCTTTAAATAATTTTTTCTCTATAGGTATGGCTGGTTGGAGATTGCTCAAATGCTACTTAAAAAAAGAAATGTGAGAATCATAAATGTACAAAATAGCCAAGGAAAAACACCCCTGCATTTTGCCTGTCATGAGGGCCATGAACAAATAGTTAAACTTCTCTTGTTGAAAGGTGCAACCATTGAAAGGTAAAACTGATAGAGCATTATGCTTTTCTCTTTTTCCTCTCTAGTATTTTAAACATATTTTAACTACTTGAATAGTTAATGAACTTTGAAATAGAATGGATCATAGCTTTAGATTGCTGGCCAGTATTGATTGTCCAGTACGGACAGAAACTGAAAAACGATCGTTTTGTTACTATGGATTCATAATTTATAATTTATCAAAGTAGAGTAATAATTTTAAATTTAGAAATCTATAGCCTTATAAATGTGTTTTATATATTCGTGTTTGTATTTCGCATGAAATATAGCCTTATAAATGCGTTTTATATCTTCGTGTTTGTATTTCGCTTGAAATTGTAATGTATTTTATTTTGTTTATACTCAGGGCTCCCATTGATAGCAGGTAGCTCTTTAGGGCTTCTGACGGGACTATCTTGAGGTTTATTTTTATTTTTATATAAAGGCATCCATCCATCCATTTTAGTCAATTAGTCAACAATTAAGTGGTCAATCATTCGCGGGCTTGTAAGATATAGGCGAAAACTGTAAGTCGATGCATTATTTTTGCGGCCCCGGAGCACTTTTAGGGACTAAGGAGGAAAGATTGACTCTAATTTTATGGTTAACGCTTTCATTAGGGATCATCATGACCGCACACCACTTCACCTGGCAGCTGCAAGAGGCTCAGAGGGTTGCGTCGAGTACATACTGAATACGCATCCAGAAAGTTTAAACGCTCTTGACAAACATCAGGTATTCATTTCACTTAAACTTATATTTGTCAGTTACCAGACCAAAGGTTTATATTTAAAGTTGTGGATTGGTGTAACATTTTGCTGCGAAGTGGAAAATTCGAAATGAAACGAGGCATGTTACTTCTTTGTACACCCCTGGTGCGTGAAACCATTTTCAACTGTTTAAAAAATTCGCTTTTGCTTCCTCCGAACTAATAATTTCATACAAACATTTTGACACAAACACCAAGCGACATAAACACCACGTAAATTGCGCTTTGTAACTTATTCATGCATTTTACATTAACTAACTAGGGTTTCCTTGATGTTTAAAAGAAAAACTTTCTAATGGGTTATGTATTCCCTTTCCTTTTGGATGTTTAAATTCATTGACTTCAAGAGTAACGAGTTAACTGCTTTTATCGACACAGAACACGGCTCTCAATCTGGCAGCGACTGCTGGCCATGCGTCCCTAGTAACTTACCTGCTCACTGTTAAAGAACAAGAGATCTTGTTGAACTCGCAAAATCAAAACGTTCTTGATCTTGCCATCTCCAACCACAAAGCAGCGGTTGCTATGGCAATAATTGAACATTCAAGGTAAGCACTTGCCTAGGAAGGACGACTATCTTGTACGTATAGATGACAACTTTGTGATCTTTCTATGAAAAAGACTGGCGATAATGCTTCTTACGAGGAATCTTCACTTTTCGCGTAGCTGGTGGTTTATAATTCGCCAGAGATACGTTATGGCAGCGCAGCTGTGACAACTTATGTACATGTAGCCATAGGGAGAGCCACCCCGTCACAGGTACAGTTTGGGTTTACAGGTTTGGAAATTTACCTCAAGGAAGGAAGTAATCAGGCAGTGTGCGTACTCCGATTGCATTGCATTGTGGTTGCGTTATTTTCAATATGGAGTTAAAAGCGGTAGAAATGGGCAGAGTTTGACTGAATATTCCATAAAAGCTAGGCCGTTTCTTGTTCCTTTCACAAATATAATTTGATATATTTTGAACGTGTAGAAGTATTTTTCGTGCGTATTTCTCAGGTATTATATCGTTCTCAAGGACAAACGCAAGCACTGTTTTTTAGCATGTAATTTGAGACAGGTTTTCCAGAAGGTCAAATTCGTTGTGCGTCGTAGTTTGCAGCCTTTCAAAGATTTTTATGGCCACTTTGATCCTTCTTCAACAGCTCTGACCAAACGCGCTCAAACGTGCTCCAACGGTACAAATGTTTTATGCATTTAAGTGATGGTATTTGAGACCCTTTTGTGGAGCGAAAAGGCCCATTGTTGCGTTTAGTGTGTCGCGTTACATAGCTTTACTACTGCAGGGACATCTATCAATCGTGTTGCAAATCTACTTTCCTAAGTGAAGGAAAATTAAATAATCGTGAGCGTTGTATGGTAAATCTCCTATCTTGATCACTGAATGAAGGACAGTTTAATTAAAGCAATGAAAAGAGTCACTTGATCCATGAAAACCTCTACCTTGCGTGAGGCGACACGCCGGAAAGCCGGAAAGCAAAAGGTAGTCGACCGTTGAAAGGTGTTGATAGGCCTGTGTGTCTCCTACCATTCGCTAGCCCTTTTAAATCTTCTACCCTCAAAGTTTAGCTCTTGCTCTTATTAGGATAACTCTTGATGACTTTCCTTTGCGATGTGATAATAAGGGTCAGTTTTGAGGTGTCATTTCCCCATCTGTATGTTCTCGAGGTCTAGCAAAGCCGGATGAGATTGTTTTACAAAAGGCAATACTTTCTTCTGTGCGCGCGCTACTTTCTTTGTTTCAGAGTATACTTCTCTCCTGAAGTAACAACTCCAGAGATACGTTTCTCAAAACCCTCATATAGGTTTCCTCATATTCTCGATAAGTATTTTGAAACTCTGTACGTTTTTACTAAACGTGGGGCGCAACAAATTCGCTCTTAGGAGGCGTGGGGATTCTCCTTTTACAAATCCCGTATTTACGCTCCGTGGAAAAAGTTCGTGTACCACAAGGTCTCTGTCTCTTTAATATGCGTTTGCATGTCAAGGGTCAATTCCCTGTTAAATAACTCGCGTCTAGGAATATAGTTTCTGACTCGCTGTTGCCATTTGTGTCGAGATTTTTAGGCAGATTTCGAATCTTTCTTTGAAATAACTTCAGCTGCCTCCTAAGAACGAATTCGTCACGGAGGAATGACAGGAGTCGCGCAGGCCTGTCAAACGTTTTAACTTTCCAAGGAACGGCAACAGACAGTAAATCCCCATTACAATCCACTTTATTCACGCTATCACGCTGCCACCAAAGAAGTTCACTCCAACGTGTCAAGATGCAAAATGACTCAATTTTCGTTTTACTACCATGATGCAACGCAATCAGACTGCGCACACCGCCTGGGAAGTAATAGCAACTGGGTAACAGTTATTGGAAAGGCTGATTTAGGATTAAGGATGTCAACACTTATCCATATAATGGAAAACATCGCCTAAATTTTTCCAAGCACAAGGTGAGGAGGTTCAGTTAGAGCTATTCTTCAGTATTTCGAGGTTACTCAGGCTCATGCTCTTACGGTGTTGTTAATTGCACTACTTGTGAACGATTGCCCTCACCAAGTTATTGGATATTCTTTCGTCCACTCCACAGATGGAAGGAGGTAATGGATTCAGCTGTGGGTGGAGGGGTGTCTCAGATTCAAACATTGGTAGAAATGATGCCGGAAGTGGCAGAGGTGAGTGACATGCAGAATTTAACACTCAATGCGATTAACTCAGTTCTCACCTTTTTGCGTGTGCAGCCCACCAAGACTTACGTGAATAGTTGTTTTAGTATATACTATAAAAAGGTAAAATAACATAACACAAAGAGATTATTTTAACTCACTTATGCCTACAACGATTATGATATTTTTGTGTGCAAATCCCATGTGAGTTGCTTGGAAATGAATAGCAAAGGATGTTCGGAGTTTGAGTAACCAATCAGAGAGCTCCCTAAGCGCTTTCCACTGTTTTAGTGTATACTAAAAGAAAGTACATTCTTAAAAAAAATTCTATCAGATATATAATTGATTTACATGAAACAAGACTAAATAAAGAAATAAAAATATAATGAGATACGATGAAATATATGAAGTTCATATATTTTGTACTGCGGTATTAGATACATATGATGCACGATCCTCGCAGTAGACAAATAAATAGCGCTATCTACTGCGAGGATCGTGCATCATCTGTAAAAATATAATACCAGCCAGAGAAAAATATTTTATTCTTCAACTAAACGGTTTTTCGTATACATACCTTTTAGTAATACTAATATTTAAATTTCTACCTGATTTTATTATAGTCATCTTGCTTGGCCAGTGTCTCATTCTCATTTTAGTTCTAATGAATCTGTAGTATCGTTTAGATAACCTAACATAACTCTCTTCTTTTGATTTTTTTCTTGTTTTCTAGCGTGTCCTTGATCAGTGTGTTGAACAAGAGGGCGATCCAAGCAGTAAGGATTTCAAAGTAAGCTGCTTGTTCAATCTTAATTGATAGTTTACTCTAAAAATAAAAGCAACAGCCTGTACGTAGTACGTTTACTTAGTTTCTAAGTCCTAAGATGGTTGTAATGTGCTGTCAGGGTTTGTAATCATTTTATCTTATAATGCTCTTCACACAGTCATATGCTATTGGCTTCTCAATGTTCATTTGGTTAAAATCATAATTCCTATTATCATTATCATTATTACATGTAAAACTACTGTCATTAATCATTAAAAAATGAATATGACTCCGGATTTGAAGAAAACATCCTACTTAGCTAGAATATCTCACGACGTCTATTTCAGAATTATAGTTGGTCAGGGTCATACGACTTTGGTATTAAAAAGCCAAAAACAGACAAAATCAGGAAAAGGAGAACTAAACACAGAATTAGAATATCGAGAGGAAGAATGTAGGCAAGGAAACAAAGTTGTTGGAGGTTCGAGGTCAAAGTCCAGTCCTGCTATCACATTTCAACAGATTAAGCAAGCCTTAATCTGAGCAAGATTAGACTAAGCAAGGCTTAATCTAAGCTTTACCTACTCGATACCCCACGTTTATTTATTCACTTCGTTTCAATCATTTATCTCTTCTTTTACTTATTCATCAATCTATGAAAATATCTTTTCAGGTAACGTATGATCTGCGGCTGATTCAAGGAAAGCAAAGCATTCTCGCAACTTCGTTTGAACATTCATTAGATGCGCTAAAGGTGAACAATTCATTACAGTCTTTTTAATAACCATAAACGTTTTGTTTCTGGATGCGAGGAAGAATAACCATTCGTGTACAAATTTACGCCGGTTTACAAAGTACAGTCTGACTATCTGGATGACTCATAAGTTAAGCCTGCAAGCCGCATGGATTAGATAAATATGTCGATCGTCAAGATTGGTAAACCTCAGGTCGCAGTTATCTCTAAGACAGTTTTTTCGTAGAGTTACAGGTGCTACATGGTCTTATGACTCACTAGACCCATTATCCTTAAAGAGCTTTCTTCATCAGAGAATGTACCAACTGAAAGCGAAGTAATTTTGACATCAAATGAAAGGTATCTCTATCTTTTCCTGAATACAGACTATGGCAGAAAGACGGCGAGAGAACTGCTTGACTCATCCAGTATGCTATGTGCTGATGAACAGCAAATGGTAAAATCAGGAGGCTTAAATGACTTCACTACCACTGAAAGTAATAATAGACCAAATATTCATTTGGACTGATTACAACCAAAATATCTTCTAAAATTTATTCATTGTTTAGTTATTTTCCATTCATTGCTTTGAAATTGAGTCGTCAAGTTCTTTGTTACTTTCGGGGTCGATGTCGTCTGTCCCTGCACTTATTGATCTAAAGTCATGGTTAGTGCTAAGTTAATGAGATACTCATAAGACAGACCTAAGAACGGTTAAAGGATGATAGTTTCGAAAGAAACTGTTTGGGGCTGCGTCGGTGGGGGTAACGAAATAATTTTGGATATATCAACAAAGTTGAAATGGTAAATTGGCCACCGTAACGATTACAAAAGCTGACGTTTCGAGCGTTAGCCCTTCGGTCCGACGAAGGGCTAACGCTCGAAACGTCAGCTTT